CCTTCCCTTCCCTTCCCTTCCCTTCCCTTCCCTCCCTATTCCATCAGCACTCTGACACTGAATGTCACCAGGTGACATACTGGTGTGGTCATGTTTCTCCAGGAAACCTCCTCCGCAACAGCAGAATTTTAAACAAAATCTGTTGATTCCTCTACGAGCAGGAATGTACATCAACCTTTTTTTAACAGAACACTGGGGCTTTGATTGCTAATGGCAGATGATTCAATTCCCTCTGACTTTGCCACATTACCTTTGGAGTAATTAGTCAGTCTTTCAATTCAGTCATAGCTCTCTGTTCTTTCACTTGCTGTGAGGATGCTCTGGCAAAGAACCTGCAGAAATCAAAGTTCAAAGTCAGAGCATCACGGCAGTACAACTACATCAAAAATATTCCTTCCCATAAATGGATAGACTGGATATGGGGAAGAAGATTTTTACAGTAAGGGTGGTGAAGCACTGGAACAGGTCAATCAGAGAGGTGGTGGAAGCCCCGTTCCCTGGAGACACTCAAGGTCAGGCTGGATGGGGCTGTGAGCAACCTGATCCAGCTGTAAGTGTCCTTGTTCACTGCAGGGGAGTTGGACTAGACGGCCTTTAAGTGTTCCTTTCCACTCAAATGATTCTATGGTGCTGTGATTCTGTGATTCTATGAGTCTATAAATGAGCACGCAGGATTGCTATTGAAGTGGCAGCCTGTGAAGTAGGAATCAGTCAACACTAATCATTTTTTATACAAAAAAACCCAAACAAGCAAAACAAAACAATCCTGAATGTTGAACCTCAAGGTTGATTTTGGCCCAGTGGAACAAGATCTGAATAAAATTGCTTCTTTCTCTTGTGAGTGTTAGGGCTAATGCATTGAAATTGAAAAACTGCAGATGATGATCTCAGATAAGTATCTGGTATTACTCTGAACCAGAGGTATGGGTTGGACATGTTATCAGTAAAAACAGTTTCTTGTTTTCTCAATAAATAAAATCTCCAAGAGGAGATTAGAGGAAAGAAGCAGAATTCCATCGATAAATGAGAAATTTGTAGATATTAGGACTTGTTCTGATGGCAGCTACATCCTCCAAAGCATAGGCTGTTTCACGAGGATTATCAAAGTCTAAAAGCGTTTTTACATTTGTCTATGATTAACATGAGCAGGAATTACCTGACACATACAATCCAATAGAAGGTTCCTGATTTTCAGTGCTCAGTTCCCACAGCCATGGTGCACAGACACAGCTGAACACGCAGTGCTCTCTGACAGGCCCAGAGACACACACACAGTGACAGCTGAACCTGCTCAGTACGGCAGGCTGGGCCAGGCTGGCTCTCCCTGCAGACATAGCACAGTGCCAGTTACCAGCCATCAGACAGGCTCCTGGAGCAGTGTGATAGGAAGGTCCTGAGTGGCTCAGGCCCGCTCTGCAGCTGGCAGGAACACCCTTTTGTGGGCCCAGCTGATGAGAAGCAAAAGACAAATAATTCAGCGGAGACGGGAACCCACAAACCACATCTGGAACCATAAAAATAGATGTATAGATATGCTTCCTGACATTCCCAGGCACTGCAGTGAGGTGTGGGTGCCAAGGCTGAGCTCTGGGTGCTGAAGCCCCTCTGTCTGGCTCTGAGGCACCTGCTGGGCCCGATGGGAGCTGGGACTGGTGCTGTGGCACAGGGGTGACCATGCAATGCCAGGAGGGCGCCTGCCCCATGATCCTATCAGGCTGGGACCCGAAACAGAGAACAAGGAGATGAGTCGAGAGTCCAGTGTCACTCTGTTTGCATTTCCTCACTGAATGCAGCAGATGGGAGCATTCCTCCCCAAGGCATGTTTGTGCCAGATACTGCAGTCACAGTGTGTTCCCAGTTGCTTGCGGTTCCAGCCACACTGGATGGATCAGGGCTGCAGCAAGTGGAAGGGCCAGGCTTGTCAAAACCATGGCATTGTAAACGCATCTCCAGGCTGTGTGCTGAAACCCTTCCTCTGTGAGCCAGTTTCTCCTGTATTAGAAGGGAAAGGCACAGAAGACATTGTCTGCTTCCTTACTAGCATCTAAATTTTACCACAGTAGTCAGAAGTAAAAATCAGAACAAGATATAACGTCTCTCTGATCCTGCTCCACACAGCCATTCTGGAAATTTCTGCTAAATAAAATTCAGCTATTATTAAGCCAAAGCTATTAATTCTGTGCAGCTCATTATGGTGAAAAGTTTGAAAACTCCTCAGCACTTGCCACCTTTAAATGAAATATCCAGACCTGCTCTTCTCTATTGAATCATTCAATGAGTCTTGTATTAAAATAATTTTTGAACAGGGAAATTAAAATACACGTGAACAGATCAGCAGTAAGTCAAGAGATATTCTGGCATTGAAGAGTTTAACAAAACATGACAACATTCAACCTTGGGGAAAAAGATGGACATAACCACGGAGTGGGGTCACATGGCATGACAGAACAGTGCAAGGAAGGAGAGCTGGGTAGGGAAAACATGACTGTCACGATATGGAAAATAAGGAAAGGCGAATACATACATACATGTCTTGCTACAGATGTGGGTGTTTCTGTGAGTGGAATGAATTTACTGGAAGCTGAAAAGAAGAGCATTTAGAAAGCTCATGATGACAAGTGTGGTAACACTGGAAGCTGTAGAGGCAGCATTTCAAAGCAGCAACATTTATTCCATCTTCTCACGGTAACACCCACTCGTTCTGACCACAGCAATCCAGAGGGCACGGCGATGAGAAATGTATTTCTCTGCATTTCCACACAGATTCAGGCTTTGGTACAGAGCAGTACCAAAATGTAAAGGTAAAATTGAAAAGCTTCACGGCTGCCAAGTTACTGAACACAGCATGCAGATGCTGCTGCTCTGCAACTCAATTCTGACCTTGGGCATACACTGCTATAGGACTTCAGAATACAAATTCACTGTTTTCCCCAGTGGTTCCTGGTAAAAGATTTCCAAGATATTCAGAGGTGTTTCCCACATCTTTATTGCAATTTGATCTTTGCAGCTGAAATGATACAGTCAAAGTCAGCAGTTCTGAGTCAAAACACAGTGTTAAATGTGAGATATTAGTCATGTTTGTAATACCCCTCAGTTGCCACAGATCAAGAGGTTAGAACACAGATAAGTTTAATATAAAACAAGGTAACGTTATGATCCTGTTAATAATTTTTTTTGACCACTTTTCATTTTAACATGAAAAACAATGTCAATTACTAATCAGAAACAGATTGTACAATTATGTAACATAATAACAATACTGGGCATCCTGATCTAGTGGTTGGCATCCCTGCCCATGGCAGCAGCATCCCGGCCCAAAGCAGACGATCTTTGAGGTCCCTTCTAACCCAAGCCATTCTGTAATTCTATGATTCTATGATAATAATAACATAGATAATAAAAAAGTACACTGGTGTGCTCTCTGTAAGTTTGGTATATTTGGCTTGAAGTCACTTGAATACATTTGGATTGGAGGTTTGGGTCTGAATACGCAGAGGTAGAACTGCTATTCTCAGTGGGGATGAACCATTGGAACTCTTTTCATGATTCCGAGTGCCAGTTATTAAATAAACACTGGCAATAAGAGGGATTGATATATGAGTTCCCAGAAAACGATGATTTTCACAATAATTTTTTTTTCTCAAAACGTTTCACACAAATGAGAACTCAGAAAATTGTAAGAAAGCTGATTTATGTCCTATAATTCTATAAGACTAAAAGTACCGAGCTTCTGTTATATTTCACTATGTACAATAATCTGAAAGGTCCTGGGTGTGCTTTCTGTGCTTAACACAAGTAAATTCAGATTAATTATCTGAGGCGTAGCTAGTGCCAAATTTATCAGACGATTTATGACTACAATAAGAGTTTGTAAAATTATTTCCAAAGCAATAAATCTATCTTCCACGCCTTCCCATGGCATCTCTGTGCTACTTGCTGCACTTCCCACAACATGAACCTACCCAGTGCCCCCAGCCAAGCACAGACACATGAGCTCAGGCCAGGAACCCCTGCCACTGAGGCCAGGGAGCGGAACTACTGCTGCTGATGGCCTCAGTGTGTGTCTGCGTGCCTAAGGATCAAAAACCACCCCAGTGAGGACAGGCCGTTCTATCTCAACAAATCTAACACACACCCAGTCCTTTCAGCACCCATCCCTTGACTCCTTGAGCTTCAGTATCAGACCTCTGCATTGTTCTCACAGGCTGTTGCAAGTTTACGGCCCAGATTGGCAGGGTATGTGTGGACAGGCTGTCTGCAGGGCTCCTCCCAAGGCTTTCCAAGGCAGCTATTTGTATATTCCAGCACAGAAGAAAATTTATTTCAGGGATTTTTTTTTCCCATTTGCCACTCTTCCGAGAACATAGTGTATTCCCTTCCTACTGCATGCCCAGGGAAGGCGATACGGAAGCTGTGGCTGCTTTCTCCTGTTTATGCACACCAGACTCTATATTCTTCCTTCCAAATGACAGTTCATTCATCACTCTCTTTTTGTCTTTCCCTCTCTCTTCCCTTTGAACTGGGTGTTACTATCTTCTGCCTTCTCTCATTCTGGTTCCTCCCTCTCCCCACCCACACATCCATGCAATTACCATTGCATTACTCATCACTTCTATAGTCAATCAGAGAGTAGAAGCAACGACCCAGCGATACAGGAGGTGAAAAGTTTCCCCTTCCTGCTTGTTTACTGACTGGTTCTTTTTCATACATCCAAACCAGATATCTTCTGCAGCACTTAGGATTGCAGCCAAGGTGGCAAACTTCTGAAATAGAAGGGAGTCCTACAATATAGAGATGCTGACAGCACTTCCTATTAACCATCAAGGGTTAGAAAGTGCGTCTAATTTTACAGGGTGATAACAATGCCTCAGATTACAGGGAGTGCACCACATATTCTGATTTCTAACACTTGCTGTATTACTACAAGCACCAGTAATTTCCAAACCTCCCCACTTATCCACATGGCAGCATGCAAGATGGCCAAACTCATCCATAGAGATAAGCACTACAGCAAACTGCACGATGCTGCATGTGACTTTGGCACAGCAGGACCCTTCCTGGATACGACTGAGCAGCTTTTCTATTTTTCAGCCCCAAATGAATCATGAGAGGAAACAGCCCAGCAGCACCTGATATCAGACCTAGGACAGAAGGATTTGGGTTCAGAATGTTTTTGCTACCTGGCTCGTATCTCTTTCCAGCTCTCAGCAGAGAAGAAACAGGAGAACTGTCTTCCCATCAAGGGGACTGAAGAGAAGCTCAAATAAAGGACCAGACAAAATGAAGGCAAAGCAAAGCACTTTTCTAACTCCTTTTCCAAAAGAATTGAAGTGCTCGGCCAAAATTCTCCACGTGTCAGCAGGAAGCAGTCACTCCTTGTACAGCGTGGGGAAATTTCAGCCAAAAAGGTTATTCAGGCTGAATTGCAAATGCTGAAAATCGACTTTCATTATGGCAAGTACCGGTACTTCTTACCAAGAATTGACCTTAAAGCATCACAGTTCTAAACTGTTCTTTTGAGATGTGTAAGTTATGAAGAAAGGTTTCACATGCACAAAGTCATCAATCAAGAAACTGAATAGGGCTGCCCTCCGCTGTGTTCTGGGAGCTATAAATGCGCTGGTCACAGGGCAGCTACAGGCTTTGTGGAGCCAGCTGCACCAGAAAAGTGTCTCATTGAGGCCACAGCCACGCAGAGCTGCTCCAGCACACCAGGGAAGGCAGAGGCATCCTGCAGCAGGGGCCTACAGCTGCCCCAATAATTGAAAACTAATTACATTTGGCAACAAGGGCCAATGCTGATAACACACCGTATTTTCTGCAGCACTGTGTAACTATTCTGTATGCTTTTTCCTGTACTACAGTGGTAACAGGAGTCTCAGAGTATTCCTAGTTTTAGGAAATGTCTCTGTGTGGTTTATTTGCCTCACAAACACAATCCAGCTGTTTCTACTATGGCTTTCATTGCTTCAAAAGCCTAAATTTAATCCTCACACACACTGCCAGGCGTGTATCAGTTCCGAAGGCAAAATCTCAGCAGACATAACTCTCATTTGGAGCTGCCTTTTCCTGCATACCCAGAGAAATCCCTGCCATGTGTTCATTCTGCATTTACATTTCAGGGTAGGATTTGATCAGATGCTTGGTCTGGAAAATGGAGACACCCACTGAAAGTAGGTCATGATAGTTCCGAAAAGGAAGATCACAGCGCTAAATTACTTCACTGGAAATCCAAAACACGACCAGGTTAGAAATTCTGTTCTGTAAAACAACACATTCTGCAAATACTTTAAGTGGAAATATTATCCCTTACAGTGAGTTCTGCTGTTGGTGGCTTAGAACGCAGCCGCACAGGAAGCAGTATTTCTGATGTGCCCTTAATCCCGCACTGAATCAAAGCTTCAGCGTAACAGTGCTTTCATCTGCTCATGATAAACAGTCTGCTGAACCAGCGGTTTCTGTAGGAAAACTATTTGCTGCTCTTTTTGCCAGAAGTGTTTTCAAACAGAGGGCAGCGCTTACCTCCTGCCTTCCTATCTACTGCAGACAGAAGAACTGCTTCTGAAGTCTGTTCCTCCACTGAATCACATCATAAGAGGAAGTTGTTATTATTAACTGTATTACATACTCACTTTTATCATTTTTGGTTTTGGAATGCTAACATTACAATTATTATTCCTGAAAGCAATTATTAGTTTGACGTTCCCACAGGGAAGCAATCTGTCTCATCTCCAATCCAAGCGGCTATTTCTAGCTTCATTCACAAGATACAAATGCTGCCTCACAAAATGCTACTGCAAAAATTTAATTGTGTTAATTGCAGCCAACACATTTCCAAAGCTGCTGTTTACAAATTTTGACATTAGTGCTCGTTTTGTTCAGTCTTAATAGTAATAGTGAGATAAATTACATAGTAAGCAAAGTTCATGCTTGATACCCGTTCTTAATGGTGGCTGAAATATTTACCTATTCCTTAGTTGTAAAGAAATTAAATTGCAAACATCTCCTTGCTTTAATACCAAAATAGTTTCTAGCTTGAGATATAAAGCTGAAGAAAAAAGGAGACACGAGGAGACACATTAACCTAAGCACTGATAGAAAATTTATCAATAAAAAAAAAAAAATTGGAAGTTTCTATGGTTAATAGCAGATCTGCTATACAAAAAGCAAATCTAGTAGGGTGAAGTGAATACAGTTCTATCTCAGTTACAGAGATGCATGCGTGTGAAGAATATAATCTTTCTTAATCTCCTCATGTGGTACCATTAATCACCCACCTGTCGGCTCTGGAAGACTTACAAAGGTAACAACAGAAACCATAGCAAGTTAGCACAGTACAACAAATACCACACTGACATTCAGTACTGTCTTAAGTTAACCTCGGAGCTTTCGGCTTAAAGGCAACAAAAAATGCACCTTTGTAGCTAACCTATTCAGGCATATTCAACATGTTAAAACATAGGAACAGGTGAATGCAGCTGACAGCTCATAACATCACTCAGCCACCCAAATGGGAACTTGTGCTTGGCCGTGCTGCTGGGGTTCCTCAGCGGGAGCAGGGATGGAGGAATGCTGCTGGAATGCAGGCGGTCTCGGTGCCGTCCCACAGGCCTGTCTCTGTCAGCACAGGAACTGCCACCCGCAGAAGTGTGCTGAGACTCCACCACCACCCAGAGCACCAAATGACGGATGGCACCGTCAGGTGAACTGCTTGCACCCATTCTCAAGAGCCACTGCTAGTGATCTAGTGTCACTGTGCATTATTTCTCTCTGTGCTTGCTTGTATTTCAAGCACGGACCTGCCTTCCAGTTTGTGTGGACACAAATCCACAGTCAACCACAAACAGAAAAACTCTCTAGGCCATGCTACCAGAAATAAAACCCACGAGGTTGATCTGACCATAGTGCACTTCTAGACATACTGCTTCTTGTGGCTTTGAAACACCAAATTCCCAACCCAGGGGCCCCCTGGGTCTTGAATTTGTCCTTGCCACGACATCAAGAAATCAGTCTTAAAATCATCTCCATGTCAGCTCTCAAAGAGTGAATACGTTTACAGAGAGCTCTAAAATTTGGAAGAGCTACACAAAGAATTGCAGTGAAGGAGGAGGTACCAAGAAGCAGTGAGAGGGTGCCCAGGCTGAGCAGGTTGCCTTGGGAAAGGGTTGGCTCCAGGAGGGATCCCGTTCTTCTGCTTTTCCCCCGGAGCATCTCTCACACCCAACTCAGACCCCAGGGCTGGAAACTGAATGGCCACGTACCAAACATGTACCCACCCCAGCAAAGACACTATTCCTGATATTCTCTGAGGAAAAGGAGCGCCATTTTGGGAACTCTCAAGAAAAACTGGGGAAACTGTGGATCAAAAGTAAGAATGGATCATTCACAAATAGAAAATAGCAGGGAAGTCAATGAAATACAGCACTCAACTCAAAGAGCCTTCAGACTCTAGAGCTTTTACCAGAGATGGGTCAGGTGCCAGATGAAAGAATTGTTAGGAAAAAATAAAAAATAAAAAAAAAATAATAATAAAAAAATTTTTATGTAATTGTGCAGATGTAATAATGGTATAAAATAATGCCTGCAAGCAGCTCCCAGCTCTGGGCCTGTCTGAGCAGGGAGCTCTGTGGGCTCAGCTTGGGCCAGTTGTTGCATTACTGAGCTGTCAGGAGTGTAATTTTCTCTCCTCTGTGTTTAATTCCACACCCACTCTTCTGCACATATCAGAAATGATTCTACTAGAAGAAAAAATTACTGTCCCTTGTTCTTCCTTAAATAAATCTCTTCAGTGAACATGCAGGTGCTCCCTCAGCAGGATGGAGTAGAAATTGGGAACAACACCATGGGACGATAGGGAGGGAGCCTGCTCACTAATTACTGTTGCGTACAAAACAGACTTGGCTTGAGGAAGATTAATTTAATTTATTGCCAATTAATAACAAAGTAGGACAGTGAAAACGATAACAACAAAAAAACAACAAACTGATGACACCTTCAGCCCTTTCCGTTTTCACTCAGCTTCAGCCTTCGTTCTACTGTTTCCTCCTTGCAAGCAGTGCAGGGAAGGGGGGCTGCAGTCAGTCCAGTCAGGCCTGGCCGCTCCCTGCCCGGCTCCAGGTGTCCTTCCCACAGGCCCCAGCTCCCCAAGCTCTGTTCCAACAGAGCCCCTAACACAGGGCCCACCTTCAGAAGTGCACTGTTCCAGCCACGTCCCCATGAGCGGCGGCTCCCCAACCCTCCTGCCCAACCATGGGCCCCTCTCTACAGGCTGCAGCTCCAGCACAGGATGCTCCTGCAGGGGCACATCTACGGGCAGTGCCTCCTTCAGGCCTCATCCTGGTGCACTGCAGGCTCCTCCACGGCGCAAGTGGAGATCTGCCCTGTGCAGTGCCCACGGGCTGCAGGGAGATAGATCTACACAGATCCCAACTGTCAGCCTCTTTCTTCCTCTACTTCTACGAAGTACGTTAGGTCTGTGGATCTAAAAAGAGATCTTTTAGTCTCCAGCACTGAAATTTGAGATCACTTGAAAAGAAGATGCAGGGAAATGCGCTATCAAAAACATTTTTATTTACAATTTCAGCAATCGTCATCCGAATCATTATCCTCAATTTTCTGTGGTGGCCGCTTAACACCAATGATTAAATCAATATTGAGAAGCTCTGTAGCACAATGAAGAACTGAAGTTACCAACTGGTATTTGCAATACACTGATTCCAAGCCTTTCTCATTCACAGGCAGGGGCTGATTCTTCCTGAGTGCTTCTGTGGTTTCAAGATAAAACTTGGTAAAGCCGTTCCGTTCTGTTCCATATAAGGCCTTTGGAATACTTAACAAAGCATCAGCAACTACATTAGATATGACAATAACTGCTGACTGCTGAACCTGCTTTGCATAATGCCGAATATAATAATGTAACAGGATTTCAAAGTAACCTCCTACTGGCAGAACTGATCCTGCTTCTAGGACGGAGCAGGGACAACTCTGTGTAACACCACTGCCAGCCTTCTCTAAGCCTTTATCGACACCTAGGTGCTCACACAGGGTAGCAGTGCTGACTACAGCAGTGCTGTGATTCCTGTGACTGCACACCACTGGGTGCCTTCGGTGGCTCTCGTTCATCCCATCTGCACACTCACACAGTTTGTGTGTCCCTGCTGAGTCAGTCCCACCGGTGCAGACATTCAGCTCCTTGCTGTGTGGGCCAGGAGCTGAGGCTGGTGGCGTACAATCAGGATGTTCGCTTTCCTGCAAAGCAAAATCTGAACTCTGTGCTGTTGTTTCACCCCTGCAGCCTCCCAGCTGATGCTCAGAAACCTGACTGCTGCCACAAGCAATACTTTCTATCACCACCTGCGTTTCAGTAGCTGGACAATACCCGCTCCCAACACCTGAGGCACCATTCCGGCTCTCATCTCCGCACTGCTGACCCACCTCTCTGAAGAGCTGCAGCAGCATGGTGAAGGCCCCGTGCAGAGCGGCAGCATGCTGCTCGTTAACGGCATCGACAGGAGCGCACAGAACCAGGCAGTGGGGCTGGAAGGCGCCCACGCTGCTGAAGCCAATGTGCGCATACCGCTGGGAGCCCAGCAGCAGGGGCTGGCAGAAGGTTACCACTGCAGCCTCTGTGATCTCCCTCTGCACGCTATCACCGGCAGGGTCATAGGGCGAGATTCCTGTGATTTCAGAGATAAGGGCCACTTCTTCCGATGACAAACACTCCACCACGGACACACCGTGTAATTTCGCGTAGTAGATAACTTCCTCGTGCTGCTTCACGCCGGACAGCAGCAGCCTCACGCCGCTGCTCCGCAGGCGCTCCATCACGGCCTCCGTTCTCCCGCCGCACCAGCGCAGCGCGGCCCGGTGCTGCCGCTCGGATCGCACCGCGCACTCCACGCCGGGTGCCGCGAGCACGGGCCGCAGGCAGCGGGTGACCAGCACTGCGCGCAGCCGGTCGCCGGCCGGGCAGTAGACGGCGAAGTCCCTGCGGAGCAGGACGCCGGGCAGGATCCTGGAGCGGGCGAGGGGCAGCCCGGCGGCGGCGGCGTGCAGCTGCGCGAAGCGGCGGCAGAGGAGGCGCAGCGCGGGCGGGCGGCGCGCCCCGCAGCGGGTGCACAGCTCGCAGCCCAGCAGTGCCACGGCGCGCCGCTCGCCCGGCCCCAGCCGACCCCGCAGATAAGCCTCCAGCAGCGCCTCCAGCGCCACCGCCTCCAGCTCCGCCTCCGGCCCGCCCGCGGGGAAGGCGCTGCGGAGGTGCGGCCTCAGGCCCCCCGCCACGGCGCGCTCCAGCACCCGCCGCTCGAAGGCCGGTAGCGCCCGCGCCGCCCGCCGCAGGGAGCCCTCCCGCATCGCGCCCAACACGGCAGCCAGCAGCAGCACGAAGGTCTTGGCGCCGTCCCCCGTCGCGGTTTGGAGGCGGCAGGCGG